AAGGATCATGCCTCCAGAAACTGTCATTCTTCTCCACTGCCCTCATCAGCATTGCCCTAAAGGAAGCACTGTTTGGCATTAGAACAGTAAATATTCTCATGTGTTCACAATTTTATTTCATCCAATGCCCTGTTCTCAGCACTGGATGAAATGCCTGGATAAAATAGCTTCAGTGAGCAAACAGCACCAGGCAGCCTCTCTCTTGCTCTTTACCCTCTAAACTGCTACCCCAAAGGCTATTTTTATGCATCTTGAACTCTGAAAATATACCCATTGCTCCATTCTGAGGATACTTAGATTTAGGAGGAACAGGGTTGTTTTTCCTGTAGTCACAATGAAAAAAATATTACTATGTTTGTATAGTGCTTGTGTGACAAATAACATGGATCAATAATTTTGCTGATCTTAAAAGAAGTAACAAATACTTTCTTTTATATCATTGTGTGAAAACAGTGGGCAAATAACCTTCCAAGTATGGTAGTACATTTTTAATGGATAGTATCAAAACTCAGTTTTCATCATGAAATTACTGATCTTTCCCCCATGAACTTCCAGGATCCCTGCTTCAAACATTATGGTATAGCTAACAAATGTTCAAGGCCCAGACCCTGACGTACTCAACTGCACTTTAGTTTCACAGTAGTTCCATGATGCCACCATATTTCAGCATGCAAGTTAAGTGATCAGAAATCTAGTCCTACAATCCAGTTCAGCCCAAGCCAGTAAACACCACATAATTAGCCATTTCAGTATAATACACACTTTTCATTAACAAATACATTTTAAAAGATGGGATTTTTAAACCTAAGCTATCTTAAAAACCATATCAGAAGCATAGTTCAAGCCACAGCTAGATGGATGGACAGAAATTATTTTATATTTATTTTTGCTAAGAACACAGAAGCAGCTGTGCGGCTGTAATTTGTAAAAGGAACTAGGCCTTAAGCCTCATTGTTTTAAGACTATTCGCCTTATGGTTTTAAGACTATTCATATTAGACATATAACTAATGATTAGATATTGGTTGAGATATGATTAATAGAATGCAGGTGCATATAAAACAATATCTATGAGCTGCATAATTGTTCTATGAGACTCCCTCTTCATGGCTGGCTTAGAATCCAGTCAGGCTGAATCAACAGAGGAAGGATCATACATCTTAGACCTAAGACACAGGAGTAAGTGATTAACTTTAGAACAAGATAAATTAATAAAATAACCTGAGTAGTTTCTTTAGAAATTCATAGGTACCTTTGAAGTGTAAGAAGATATGTGATGATGGCAACCGGAGACTTTCTGCCTGTGACCACCAATCTCAGAAGAACAGAGACATGAGAATGGAGAATGGATGAGGTAAGATGATGAATGATAACAATATGAGAATAGAGAATCGGCTGGAAAATTACAGAGACTTTGGATTGGGACAATGGGTGGCAAAAGGGTATATAAGATTTGGAAACTTTTGGAAGTGTGCCATTCACTGCGGTGGTGGCCCAACTCTGAGTTGTTAATAAAGCAAACCTAGAGAAACCCATGGTTGAAAATTCTTTAACATAATTCCCTATCATACTTCGTGTCATGCTTCCCTTTGGCAAGCCATTGACTGTGTATGCCAGGCTATGTACAGCCCTAGTCCCTTCAATCAGCATTTTAATAAGTAATTGGGCACAGATTGTCCTTTTAGCAGAGACTGGTTTTAGTTTTGTTGACCTTGCATTTTATATCTGAAAGCATCATACTGGGTTCCCTGTTCCACTGCAGGGTGGCGTCCTTATATTTAAATCAATATAACATCTCTTGAACATTTTAAATCTCAATTCATAGATTTTCAACACTTCCTACAACTCTGGTTTGTTTGAGTTTTGATTGGGTTTGGGGTTTTTTTGCCCCCACTGTTGGTATTTCACACATAGAAACCCAAACTGTGAAGAGGACCATGTATGACAGATACTATATGAACACAGAAGAAGAATATAGAATCATAGAATCATTTAGGTTGGAAAAGACCTTCAAGATCATCGAGTCCAACCATCAACCATGCCCACTAAACCATGTCCTGAAGTACCCCATGTACTCACTTTTTGAATACCTCCAGGGATGGTGACTCAACCACTTACCTGGGCAGCCTATTCCAATGTCTGACAGCCCTCTCAGTAAAAAAAATTTTTCCTAATATCTAACCTAAATCTCCCTTGCCGCAACTTGAGGCCATGTACTCTCATCCTATCTCCAGCCACCTGACAGAAGAGACCAGCACCCACCTCACTACAACCCCCCTTCAGGTAGTTGTAGAGAGCGATAAGGTCTCCCCTCAGCCTCCTCTTCTCCAGACTAAACAGCCCCAGTTCCCTCAGCTGCTCCTCATAAGACTTGTGCTCCAGGCCCCTCACCAACTTGGTTGCCCTCCTCTGAACACGCTCCAGCACCTCAATGTCTTTCCTGTAGTGAGGGGCCCAAAACTGAACACAGGACTCAAGGTGGAGCCTCACCAGTGCCAAGTACAGGGGAACAATCACATATCTGCAAGTTCTCGGGAGCATAGGCTGTCTAAACAGGCAAAACCAAAGGCAATAACTTTCTAAAGGTCATGTGGCAGACCAACAGCAGAGATGTAACACCAAGTCCTCTGTTTTCTAGTCCAAAATACATCTACTAAACAAAGGATTTTATTTTTTTTTTCAGTTAAGGAAACCTAAGCAAACTCATACTGCTACAACAGAAGGGAACAGTTTTTCCTCCTTAGCAGTAGAGTTAGAGGGGAAAGTATCTGATGGCTCCCCAAGTTGTTAACAGGGGTAGGCGACAGACTGAGAATGAAGTATTAAAGCTGTCGAAGGTTAGAACGCCACAATGCATTGAACCCACAGTTGGCTTTGAAAAAATGACACATTAGTCAAAGACGACATTCAACTCATTCAAATTCAACGGCTATTTACAGTCCAGGGATTGCATGAGTGTAAAACTCCAATACTGCATCTTCACAGGATGTAAAACAATGCAGTATAAGAGAATAGTATGTTATTACATTCTTTGTATGAAGCAAGTGAAAGCACGTTTTGTGGCAGAAGCATTACCAGGGGCTCAAACTTAGTACATCAATGCTTACCATGATTCTATTCTTGGTTAAGTAGTTGTCCACATTCCCAGGGGACTTTCTTGTGACTGTATTCCCTTTACAACAGTAGCATATTTTTAAACCATTTCTTAATATGATGATTTCCATTTCTTATATGATTATTTAAAAAAAAAAAATCAATCCGCTGGTCAAAATATAGATGAGACTGATTTTGTAGAACTGATAGCAGAACTTAAATACATTCAGTAGTCTAAAAACTGTATCTACACACTGAAATACATATATCTTCAGCAATATTGACGCTACGGCTTTAGTGACGAGAGCTGTCATGTTACATGCAAAGAAATACATAAAATAATCCTAATGTTACAAAGCCTACTGCTCAAGGGTTATGAGATGTCAGGTTGGAGGTTTGCCTGTGCAACCTTAGAACAAACCTAATTTTCCCCATGACATAGGCTTTGTGTGATCTTGTATCTTTCATGGGTTTTGTATTTAGTTTAAACCACAAAAGCATGGTGTTCAATATGATACTACTCAGTATTCTTCCCTTTACAATACACCCTTTGTAAAGGTGTATTATTGTGCAACTGGCACCCAGACTTTGGACACAGAATTACCGCTTTTTCCTGGATTTAGCCATAGCACTGATAATCTAGAGGAGCTGAATCTGAAAGGGATATACTTAGATACTTGAGACGACAAAGTGAAAAGAACACTTACAAGCAACGCTGAGCCTAAGGCAGAGAAATGCTTCTAGACATTTATCATTCTGTCTGGAGCTGTATGCTTCTTTTACTAGCTACAGTCAAGAGCAATTAGCAGGGTTCTGAAAATATTAGAAAATACATGCTTCAAGTGAGTGACCAGAGGAGCAAAAAGCAATCAGGAGCAAGCAACTTGCTTGAGCTCTGGGAGCCTGTGAATCAGTGCCAAAAACCTCTGCTTTAAGGCCACAAGGACTCATGAGCATGAAGGCTTAACAGAGTCTTTATCCAGAAAATATGACAAAGTAGCCTAAATGAGTTCAGTAGCAAGGCCAAATCAAGGGAAGCCTAACATCACCTGATCCTTACGGTGGGACCCAAACAGCATGCTCTGGCTCACATACTGGGTTCCTTCTTCCAAGGTAAAAGTTCTTCACAGATGGATATTGCAACATTTTAGTGGGATGAAATAACTGAGAGAATGAACTCTCTAAGGGCCTAAAGATCATGGCAAATTTAATCTTTCATGGTACATATCGCACTTCTTTGTAAAGATCAGTAGATAGTGATAGGTATGTTATTAAAAATGATTGCAAACACATCTTAGTGAACACCTCTGTCTTTGCTCACACAAAAGAACTCCAAACAGCAAAAACAGTTCCTCAGTGTAGCATTCAAATGCATTAACCTCCCTTTTCTTGTTGAAGTGGTCTGCTTTAATCACTGCATTCCTCTAAATGTCAGACAAAACACAACAATTATTCCATTTTTCTTATTCATCTTCAGAACATAGTCCAACCCGTGCATCAAATCAATCAAGTTTTCTGTTGAGAAGATAAAACTCCCCTCCACAGTCACAGTTTTCTATAAAATTCAAGCCTTTATTAGAAGGTATGAAGGTACTTGAGTTACCAGTGCAAAAACTTGAAAAAGTTTTTCTTCAGTACAAGAAAAATTAAGATTTCCTCAGGAATGAGTGGAACACTGCCACTGAAATTTCCTGAAGGACACCTGAGGAGGTTCCTTAGAGAATAACATTGGGTAGATATCCAAGCCAAATAGTTAAAGTTTCTCAAACTAATATTTAAATGGAAGATGAAGGAGGATCTTGCCATAGAAAACATCAAGTAGTATTGAGTTCACATGGCTATCTCTACTGATAACAACGGAAATGCTTTTTAATATGGAATTGCAATTCAATGTAAGTATTAGCTTACCTGACAAGAAAGCGATGTAGCCCAACGTCAAAACTTCTGTAAGAAAAAAGATTGACCATATTTTAATTATTTAAAAAAAACCTACTCTGTTGGGTATTGTACAAACACTGTATTTCAAACCAGCCAATAATACCGAAGATAAATATAAAACTACTGCAATTGATAAAACTGAAGCTAAAGTGTAATACACAACTTCCTTTCTGTAATAACATGTGAAATTTAAGATCATCATCATATAGAAAGATTTAGATGCATGTTAAAAAGATCACAAATTCCTTGTTTGAGTATTTCTTCAACAAAGCAGTAACATTCAGAGTAGTATAATGCACATAAAGCATAAATTGTGTGTATTCTGTTACTGGAAATAATTTTTTAAGCATCCTGATGACCAGTGAGTTTGCATGTTTCCTGTCATATGCAGGGAGGTCCTCTAAGCAAAACTACTGTGAAATCCTTTCTTTCTCCTTTTCTGCTCTGTACTGCATTAAAATGCAAGTGATTGCTGTGAATTGTCTCCATGATACAGAATAATCAAAGAACCCCCTTATGTCTCCTTCAGATAGACAAAATACACCAAAAAGTGGGCTTTGCAAAGGTGTTCCACTCAGATCTGGTGAGGAAAAGAACTTTGAGGACTTTTGACAGCAAGCACAAGTTAGATCACACTAAATTACAAGAACCATGCCCCAAAACTTCAGCGTTAACAACATACATTGACAGTGCCAGTGTTTTCCTTTTCTGTTTCCTCCATCCCTCAGCCAGCCGAGGAGAATCAAGCTCATGAACAATGTACTAGCAAATCCTTGACACTACAGGAAGGTATCTGCTGATTTGAGACATCTACCTAATACCTGAACTATATGCCAGTTTTACAGGACTATCAATATAATCCCAGATTAACTGTGTACATAACAGCACAATTAGAAAACGGAAATGTCTTATTTCCAGCGCTAGGCTTGCTCTGAAATGGGCTTACATTAGGTACACGGAATATATTTTGGTATATACTAAGCTCTTGAGCATCCTGTTCCAAAAAAAACTAATTGATCATTTGAGTACAACATGATTTTAACAATATTGCTTGCAGCATGCTGCCTTCTACCTGAAACAGCAAGAGAAGTCATCAGATAGTTAACACCATCCTGATAACAGCAGCTAGATAAGAAGCTGTAGAAATTCTAGGAGTTAACGGAGGTAAAGTCCACTGGTTCAGCAGGGTGGAGAGGAGGGGAGTGAATTTCTCACTCAAAAGACGCCTTACAACAGAAAAAATATTCTGCCAGGAACATGCACGTGGTCATCATTAAACCCATATTTTCACATTCCTTTCCTAAAATCATTCCCCATTTTACATTATTGTTATGTTACTGTGTAATTATACTGCATGAAGTGTATGCAGTTATCTTTCTGCATTCCTCCTGCCTAGACTCATACTGTAATTTGGCTCCCTTCTCACTAAAATATTAATATCTGTGTCATACAGACAGTCCTTTGTATCAGAGCTGCCCACAGTCTGTATTTATAGCTCTGAAACCCTTTTATTCCTACAACCAAGCACTTCAGTATGTTTGTGCTGGGATGGGGAGAAGAAATTTGTACAGTTCCAGGGAACAGCTGTATGCTAAACAACCATCTTGCACATCTTCAGCCAAGCTCATCTTTTCAAGTTCTCCTAGCTACTCTCTGATGGCAATGACTGAATCTGCTATCATCTCTGAAGGGACGCAACAACAGAGCTTCTCGTGGACAGGGACATGGACCATAAAAGTATCACCACTTTTGACAGAGAACCAAAAGCCAAAGGACTTGGGTCTACAATGAGCATGGAAACTGAATGGTTCTGCTAACTTCAGATGATCAGAGCTGAAGGAGGCCAAGTTGGACAAAGATAAGGCAGAGTGGATTCAGACAGGGAGGGAAAGCGAGACAGTTTGCTGTGGACTTACATGCCATCTTTTCTCTCATTTTTCACTCTTTCCAAAACATAATGCACTTGCTATTAAAAAAATATTTATAACTATTTCATATCGGCTTTAGCTATTAAAATATTTCCACAAAATATTCAATAAATATTGAAAATGAACATGCATTGAACCAATTTATTAGAATAAATAAAAGGAGGAAAAAAGATCAGAGCCGCACTAGGTATATCTCCGCATAGATAAACAGGCCCCATTATTCCTGTTTGATGCTATACTGATACATTGCAACTGACTACTTAAGATCCTGAATTCTCAACAGTGTAAGCAGTCACTTAAAGATGTAACTACACTATGACCAGCAGAATTACAAGAATATGCAGTAGCATCAGAGTGTGCACCTAGATCTTAAAGACACCTCAGGACAGCATCATTGAATAGTTCTAAAAGCAAGAACAACAAGGCCAAACAATTTCAAACTGTAAATGGGAGAAATAGTTGCGTTACTTAAGGCTATGGACATTGAGTACATATACTTCTAAGCACCTAGGATAATGAATAGAGACATTGTGCAAGGCAAAAATACTGAAAAGCTAGGATAATGAGAGGCTGGTTTTGACAAAACACTACCACATACACTTTCAGCCATTCTGCTTGTTCATATTTAAATACATACTGCATTGCAGTCTACAAGTGAAGTGAAAATACAGTAAAGTAGCAATGCAAACAGATCTGGTAGATGTAATTAATCCCTCCATTCTCAGATGGAAAAGTTAACAAGGGGTAAAGAGGGTTTACATAGCAGTGTTCAGACTGCAACTTGGGGCTAGAATAAGCAACTTCATTAAATGAAAAAAGAGAACAAGTAATTGCACTGCATTTGTATTAAAAATTTCATAGTGATCCCTTCAATGTTACAGGAATCTACCCATCAGGCATGACAGGGTGCCCCCCCAATTAACTCAGATTTACAGCTGCCATATGCACATGGACATGATTATCTACTGCCTATAAAGTACACCCATATTTACTTGATATTGCAATATAATTTATAATCAACTTCATTCAGCTTGTTCAATCCTGAGCTTCTCTGCAAAATACAGGTTTTATGTGGTAGCCCTTGCCATTTAGGGTGCCTCAGTTACATAAAAGTTTCACAAATGCTTTTTGAAATCCTGTAACAAGTACAATTTTTTGAAATGAAGGTTTTAATTAACATCTAAAACAACAAGGGAAAAGATATCCGTAGCAATATGAGTAAAAAATTATTTGCCAGTTAAGTTCTCTGTACTGCTCAAATGTCAGAAGCAATATAATGGTGGGGTTTTGGTTTCTTTTTTTGAGAAACAATGGGTAAAATCTAGTTTATCAGATAGTAATGGTAGTCTTTGAAGAAGGCAAAATCTTGACTAGTGAGTGGAACAATAAAGGGGAGATATATTTAACCTCCATTTTATAATCATGTTACTCACTGCAGACAATTTAATATCTTTTCTTTATAAAAAGTCTCAATTCTGTTCCTCTGAACAGCAGTTTTGAATCACAGTTCTGTATGCAACTTCAATGCTTTTGTTAAGCATAGAAGTTCTAGTTTCTGATACATTTCAACAAAAGATTATACATATAATTCTTCCTAACCAAATTCATCTTTTCCCAGTACATCAACTAGAAAGATGACCAACAATATCATATACTAAATGAACAAGGACCTTTTCCAAAATATAATCTTTAAAATCTCTGCCTGCAAGCACAAATCTCTCTCCTCAAGGTGCATTTTCAAAATTATTTCAGACATGCAGTTTCTGCTTTGAAAGCTAACTGCATAATGCAACAATCTGCCTCCAATTTGGGGGAGAGCAGAAAGAGTCCTCTTGTATAGAAAAGCTATGAGAAGGCAGAAACATGCTGGTATGAACCACAGTCAGTACCAACAGCACATGCACTGAAATTTTAATCCTGATGATTCCCAGAAAAAAATTACAAAACCCCTCTTTTTGTCCTCAGGATGCAAAAAGGCATATATACATATCTGAAAGCCAAATGAGCAAAACTGTGACAAGTTTCTATTCACGCTGCAATTAGTATCAGAGAAGCCAGTCATCTGTTTCCCCCCTGTCATGGGTACTTTGGACTCCCTCTGAGATTCCCATCTGTCCAATTTCCTTATAGTTGGACCTTATTTTGAAATCCTGTGCCTACCACTTGCCACTTAAGAGTGCTGTAGTGCATCGTTCTTGAATTGTATCTTCCTATTGCAGGCTGACACATACCGACATAAATCAGGATCAAAAACTGCTCGACATTCTCCTAGGAGCTGGTTTGCGCTTTCCTGGCCACATGCCCTGAGCTCAGCACAGGTCAGCAGACACGGTGGCTCCCAAGTGGAGCTACAGATTGACATGCAGCGACAGACTCTTGTTTCCCGAGCGTCACTACCCAAATGCCCACCCTGGTCAGCACTCTTTATAAGCACATGTTATCCAATGGATCGTTTATGCTCCCGCTTTCCAAAAAGCTGTGCCTTCCTTAAACTGAGGTCTAAACTCTGGCTCTTCAACAGAGGAGTTGTGTGAGCCTTTAGTATGCAACTTTTAAATTCAGTGAAGTTATGCCAGCCTATGTTACTGAAGTACCTGACCCCACACCTACCTAGATGAAAACTGCCACACTCATTAGCTGTTAGGGACTATAATTCATGATTCCCACATCATAGCTAAAGGACCACGATCTCACAACAAGGTTTGATTGTGAGACCTCATTCCCAATGACTTGCAACATAAAAAAAAACCAAAACTGCTGAGCACGTCAGGATCATGTGAATCAATTTAAAGTTAAGCTCATTACCAGAACTATTTTTTATGAAACTAATTGCAGTAATTTGCGTTGCCAAACCCTGATTTTGTATATCCATATTTTTAAACCATGTGCTGAAGAGAAACCAGCACAGCTTTGTTTTCTGTTAGTTCCTCCCCAGGACTGCTGGGCTGCACGCTATTCCTGGAAACGAAGTACAACAAATCATGCAACGTGTGGCATAATCTGGGAAACATTTGGCTAACCATGGACTTCAGCAAAGATGCCCACTGCAAGCAGACGGTACATTACCACTCTGAAAAG